ATATATATATATATATATATATATATATATATATATATATATATATATATATATATACAGGGGTGACATTTCAGACCATATTATATATACATATACATATTATATATACATATTATATATACATATACATATTATATATACATATTATATATACATATACATATTATATATACATATACATATTATATATACATATACTTATTATATATACATATACATATTATATATACATATACTTATTATATATACATATACATATTATATATACATATACTTATTATATATACATATACATATTATATATACATATACTTATTATATATACATATACATATTATATATACATATACTTATTATATATACATATACATATTATATATACATACACACACACACACACATATATATATATATATATATATATATATATATATATATATATATATATATATATATATATATATATATATATATATATATATATAGACAGGGGTGACATTTCAGACCATGCACTTGGCATATATATGATTTGCATATTTGCAATATTTTAAATAGTCCTGCACATATGTAGAGCTTACATTTGCTTCCTCAGGCCACCAGTAACCCTCCCCCTCCTCCTCGAAAAACATCCTGAGTCCCTCACTTTCCTTCTAGGGCTTTAATAAGAAAATAGCCATCATTGCTTGGCAACAACACCATCCTGTGTCTGAACGTTTAGGGCAGCCATAGAGGAGACACTAAACATTTAGCAACAACCAACGAGTAATTACCATGTATATATTTAAGGCAAAATGTGTGTTGTATGCAATTTTAAGATTTAGGCTTATAATATATATACTGTACATATATTATGAATAAATACGTGGGTGTCTGTATATCTATACTCGTATATCCATATATACATATATTTTCAGTTATAGTACATAAGACAGTACCTTTGACACAAATACAACCTGTTAGCATAAAAAAACTAAATAAATAGAGAAACAATGAAAATAAATCAACAAAGTTATTTCTATGCAGCATCTCTGTGCATTTTACCTCAAGTTCTCCAAGCCACTACAGCTAAACCACAAGAGCTAGAGACTTTTTAATTGGATTTTTGTGCTTTCTGAAGGCTAATTAACAATGTCATAAAAAAAATATTTTTTTCAGAACAATTTTTTTTCTTGAGCACACCGGGGGATATCAGTTAAGGACCCCACATAGCAGCTTAACCACTGAACTGCGCAAAGTGCCTGCAGGCGCTCAACGGGGGGTGTGCAACTCGTCTCCGGGATCTTATATTTTTAGTGTACGATTCAAAACTCATACGGCTACATGAGGTTCACATCACCTTCCTTAAGGGTCTTGTATACAGACGCCATTAAAAAAAAGATCGTGGGCCACATTCCATCAAATCTACAAATCCATCACTCTTTGTAAAATCTCTTGTATGTATGTACCTTACCTAAATAAACATTTGATTTGATTTGATTCCTGGGTGTGAAAGCCTCAGTACTGAGTGAGCAACCAAGGCTGGTGCATGCAGCATAAGCTCACAGCACTGCTGTTCAGCTTGTGACCACAGCATCGCTTAATAATGTCAAAATATATAACTGGTATTATTTAGCCATGATAGTATTACAGAAGAGCCTGAGTGTGATAATGACTGTACAATGTTCAAATATCAGTGGATCAATGCTGTTCACGATGCTCACAGAGCTAGCCCCAGCACCACAGCATTATTTCGTCCATCTAGGAATCTTCAAACAACTTCATATGTTACTTTACAAAACAAACTTGGTCAATTATTTACAGGTTTTAGTGACCAGAATTGTGATAATAGCAGGATTTTGGTGATAATTAGCACTGTGCGTAGTATTGTCGGAGGAGGAAGTTTGGTGAGGGAGGGAATCCAGATAGCGTCACTGTGTGGGGCAGCCACTCTTGTTTTGCTCACATACTAGCTTAGTTTATTTTATTTTATTTTATTTTATATATATATATATATATATATATATATATACACAAGAGTGCTTACATTCTTGAACAGCCACTAGTATGCGTAGCGTTTCGGGCAAGTCCTTAATCCTATGTTCCCTGGAATACGACCCCTGCGAAGAATCTTTTTTACAACCAAGTACTCACCTTACTGTTGAGTTAAACAGAGGCTACAGTTAAGGATTTGCACCCAGTAAATCCTCCCCAGCCAGGATATGAACCCAGGACAAAACGCTCGCGGAACGCCAGGCAAGCATCTTACCACTACGCCACAGAGACTGCAGTGGCATAGTCAGTGGTGCAGATTTCAAGATTTCTTGAAAGAAACACTAACGGTGCGGTGATTTGCACCAATTCAAAAGCAGCACTACAAAGCCTTAATAAAATTCAGGCAGAAAACCTTGTGATAGTTGCTGAAATCAAGAGCTACGAGGGGTACTAACTAATCAGGGAAGAATCATCAAATTTCTATGGATCCCCTCCGATGTTGGAATCTGTGGATATGAACGAGCAGATGTGCTTGCTGCTGAGGGCGCTGAAGGAGACCATTTTGAATACTTCATACCCAAGACACTGCTACAAATTACAGGTATTATTGGGCAACATCACCATAACAAGGTAACCGAGGCAGGGAGAATAGAAGCACAAACCAGTGAATCTGTATGCTAATACTATACAATGCGGTTGCAGCTGGCAATCCCAATCATTATGGATGAAGAGATGGTGGCTGCAGTAGAGTATCACTGATAGCGAGAATTCATCTAGGATACAAATATCCATGGAGATTCGGGATGGAAACAACAGCTGAGAAGTGGAGTTGCAGAATCTGTGGGGAGTGTGATGGACACCACCTCGACCATTACCCGAGAGAGAATGTGAACATCTAAGAGACATTAGAAGTGTGTGTAGCATAGTAAACCCCACATGGTTGAGTTAGGAAAATACTATGTCAAATATAAATGCTGTTCTCAAAAGATTCCCCCATTTTGCACCTGCAAGCTGACGTAAGTTTTAAAGGGTAGACAAATGTTATCTTCTTGTTTGATAAACACTTGTTTTATAAGCACTTGAGACAGTTAAGCAAGTCCCAGCTGTGTCTGGATACAAGTGACAGGATGAACAACCCAGCGAGTTTTCTTCCTATTGGGGAGTTGTACATGCTGCTATGGCGGTGTGTCCACTCACAGGACGAGTGCCGTTGCCCAATAAACTCGTCCCTCGAGACAAGAACTTTAAAAACTTCAAACTTTGGGCATGTTTTCTTTCACCTATGAAATGTTTACTGCCTCTGTACATGTAGCAGTAAATATAATTTACTGTAGCAGGATGTAACCAAGGGGGTTACATCCTTAGGAAGATCAGTAGTTTGACCATTGGGGGGAATGAGTTTGATAAATGATTAATGTATATCAACAAGCTTCTTGTCTCCAATGAAATAGTGTTATAAAATCACTGGAATACAAAAATTAATTTTGATACTTATTTACTTATTAAAAACATGCTCACAATATTAATGATGCAAATAATCAATAACTACTTTTAACAGGGATGATTAAGTTTTAAATCCAGTAGAGAATCCTTATTAAAACAAAATAATTGATGCATTGCTTAAGAGAAAAATTCAAAGATAATTACCAGATTGACACCACAGCCACCAACTATAATTTATAGAGAAGCTATGCCATGTTAGGTTATCACAATGGTGCCAAATAAAAACAAGCATTTATTCCACCCAAACCATTCTTAACTTCCCATGTTTCAGGTTATCACATTAATACCCTATTACCCTTTAAACAAAACTAATCTCTTTCAGTTACAGTACAATAATTACAACAAACTACAGAAGCTAAGCTCATTAAATCCACTAAGTACAGTGGATGATGAATACAAGCTATAATTCAAACAGCTTCCATTCTTGATATAATTGTGAAGTACTGTACAACTGATAGATTATGGTATTTTACCGAGTAAATATACATAACTTACGGTTTCCTAATTCGTGGTGCTGTACCATAGTGCTGCTGAATCATCAACTCTCGTCTTCCCTGAACTCTTGCCACTTGAGGAGCAATCAAGGATTCTCTTACAGCTTGAGGGTTACGTAAGCGCACTTCTTGGACACAGTGTGGTGGAAAAAGGCCTGTAATTCCTCGCAGCACTCCTTCTAACATACCATCATCTGTGCTTCCAGTTACTGCAGAAGTCAAATATAATTCAATTTTTTATCAAAGAAAAAAACTAGATTGCTGCAAATATTCTTCGTAGTATTTATGAAATGTAATCATACATTACTTCTCACCTTCCAAAATATCTCCAGCATTTATGTCAAGATGTCCTGGTTTATGTGGAGTGTACTGGTGTAAGCAAACAACCAGCATGCCCATGTTAAACTGAGTGATGTCGGTAGGGGTAGCATCATAACTTTCTGCACTGCCACTATTTGACGTACACACGCCGGAGCTGTCGCTCACCATATCGCAACAGTCCACACCTGCTGTAAGTTTAATGTTTGCTAAATTTTCAATTTGTAAGCTAATATCTAAATCAGAGAATTTAACCAGTTGAAAAAGGTCCATTTTAATGAATGGACTAATTTTGGTTACCATATTTTGACACTAATATTGTAATTTGATAAAATGAACAGAACATTTAAAGCCAGTACTGTGCCTCATTTGAAGATATTTATTTTTATTAGAGCAAAATTTAAATCAGTATCATAATGCCCATAATTATTACGTACATACCACACAGTATTGTATTACAGTACACTGATTTTATTCCAATTGACTAAATTTTATACTTTAAATCAATTGTACAGGTACTTGAATATATCCAACAAACACGCTTCCTATTTTTCAAAACAGCTCTTAACTCTGATGATTATTACAGCAATCATGATTAACCATTTTTAAGCTGCATATTATCTTACTACTGTACAGCATATGGATACACAGTACTATAGTAATTAGTTTGGTAAGTAAAATGAACATGAAAAAAATAGTAAAAATTATCCAATAACATAAAAAGCAAGAAAGATTAGTTGACAGTTTTGAATAATGGGTGAAATGAATACAAAAATATTTAAGGAAAGCTGAGCTTATATAAAGCTTTAGTACTATACAAGCCTTATTATAGGAAGATGACAAACTACTGTATAACTATTTAGTACATAAATAATGACTCATAGAAAACAATGAGAAATTTGCCAATAACACTTTCAGACAAATGTTAGAGTTTTAGCATGACATTTAGGATGGGGAAGTAGCCAAATACACATTCCAGCTTATACAGAATTTTGCTTATTTTGAACTTGGAAATGTGTTCAACTGGGAACAAAATTTTGTTTTTATTATATAGACAATCCACATTGGGCTTCATTTGCTGTGCTTTAAGTAGGTTTTACTGAAAATAATAAATTATAAATTTTCCATTATTCTTACACACTGCACACAGCAATCTAAATTAATTTTATCGTCACTCTTTAAACAAAAGTATTCCGTAATTTAGCTAGCTAACATTCATCAAATTTCCATCTTACCAGCATTCAGACTTGCTGAACCTAGAGCACTGGCACACTCTTCGGAATCCATTTCACTTGGATGTGTGCACGTGGAGCTGCTGCCTGTTGACGTCTCGCTCAAGGAGGAAGCAGAGCTGAAGGGTGGAATGGATCTACTAGAAGGAGAAGGCGACGGTGGCTTTGTTAGAGCACTGACTTCCAACCTAGGGTCTGAATGTGTGCGGGAGAGTGGAGCTCCAGAAATGCGACGGTTTGGATTGTATTTAGGTGGCTCCTTGAACGGAACTGTAAAAATAAAGATTACTAGAGTCACTTGAATAACCAAGTGAAAAAACGTACAAAGAAGGTTGATGCCATAATTAACCCTGAAAGTCCAGTCATTGTCATATGGTTTTGCATGATGTACACACACATTTTGTGTCAACGTTTGAATGCCAAAGTTACCAATATGGTTTCAATACCTTAATGGTGATTTCCAGCAGTCATGGGAGGTGATAAAATAATATGGGGGCCACATGTAGTTCAGCTCCTGGTCTCTCATCATATAATGACCATAGCACTCACTACCCCAACAAAGATCTTCAGTGTACAATAATATTTTGGCATAAATTTTACTTAAACAAAGATTCTTCACTTTAAAATATTTATTATATGAAAAACACAAAATATATTGTTTGCAAAATGCAGACTTTTTTTTGGTCATGTCTCAAATCACAATGTAATGCCAATGAATACCAGAAGGAATGGGACCTGTAGCACTATGGTCTATGTCCTCAGCGTAACCAAGGATAAGTTTGAGCCCCAGACAGGACAATGCGTGACATTTGATTTTACCTGATGTGTGTGTTCACCTAGCAGTAAACAGGTCCCACAGGAGTGAGGCAACTGTTGTGGATTGCATCTCGATGATAGATAGTAGTTAGCCTATGGTGAACCGCAATGTGCCTAATAGGCTTCCTGTCCCTGACTGGCAGCTAAACCAAATTGGGGGAAATGTTTACCATTATCAAGGCCAAAATAAGGATACAAGTACTTTATTTTGTTTTCCCATACCAATATTCCTGAATACAGCTCTACCATTTTGTAAATAAAAATGGTTTAGTCAGGTGCCAATTTTAACAATAGCCACACTTTGAGGGTTAAATATTGGTTATTTTTATAAATGTAAAGTAAATATACAGTATAGTATTTATAATGATACAACTTCCAACCATCACTAATAACTTCCACTAATACTAATTCACAAAGTTATGTACAGTAGTAATTGTATTTGATACAAGCAAGAAAAACTCACCAACATCATCTAAACTATGATTTTTTATCACTTCAGCAAGTTCCATATTTCCAGCAATGACTGCAACCTGAAATATAGAACATCCGGTATTACAGTATAATATAGTACAGTATCTCATATTGTAATTATATAATACATTACCCCATTCACACAAATCTCTCTATGTTGCTACCATAGGCTGCAAATATCTTTTAGTACTGTACTTAACACTTTGGCTGGCCCAGTGTGCCCCTCCACAGCACACACCAATGTCGGCCGGGTGCCAAGTTAAATTTTAAATTACAAAACTATTTTAAATTGCAATTTTTATTATGGAACACTAACATCTATGACCATAAAAGATATCACCTAATAGAACACTACAGTATCTTTAAAACATTTTCAAAGGTATTGATAATATACATAACATAATACAGCCTTGAAATCTTAATAAATTGTCAAGCCTGATCAATTTTGAAATAGTGATGCAAATCATAATGCAATTTTTCCAAATCTTTTCAATCTTCTCGAAATACTAATTAGCTTATAAAAAAATTCAGCAACAAAATTCTTCCCATTTACTAATATATGGCATTATCTCTCTTCACATAATGGCATAAATACAGAGTGCATGTTAAGAAAATTATCAAACCTGATAAGGAGTCTGGTTGGCATAGTTAATGGCATTTTTATTGCACCCTCTAAAGAGTAAGACGCGGGCACAATCTTCTAAGTTGTTGACAGCACAAACATGAAGAGGAGTGTTGCCAGAGGCATTCTGAGCATTCATATCAGCACCATAAAAAAGGAGATGTTCTAAATGTTGCACCATCTTGTTTCGACAAGCCTGGAAGAGAAGGATATTGGTATCAACGATAAACCATTATGTCAGCAGGACCCATACTGTACACACACACAGTACATTTGAACATATGAGCAACTTTAAAAAAAAAAAAAAAAAAAACTATTTTACAGCACCAATTTATTGACATGTTTGCTGATGATGCTGAGATAATAGGGAAGATAAGAAACTTGGATGATTGTCATGCCCTTCAAGAAGACCTGGACAAAAGTATATAGAGCACTACTTGGCAAATGGAATTTAATGTGAATAAATGCCATGTTATGGAATGTGGAATAGGAGGACATAGGACACACACTAAATTATGTGAGAAACCTTTAAAGAACTCTGATAAAGAAAGATCTAGGGGTGTTTCTAACTCCTGAGGACCATATTAAAAACATTGTGCGAGGAGCCTATGCTACAGTTTCTAACTTCAGAATTATTTTTAAATACACGGATGGAGAAATACTAAAGAAATTGTTCACGACTTTTGCTGGCCAAAGCTGGAATATGCAGCGGTTGTATGGTACCCAGGAGGAGGCCTGGTCGACGACCGGGCCGCGGGGACGCTAAGCCCCGGAAGCACCTCAAGGTAAGGTACCCATATCTTAAGAAGCACATCACCAAACTGGAAAAGCTGCAAAGACATGCCACTAAGTGGCTCCCAGAACTGAAGGCCAAGAGCTACAAGGAGAGGTTAGAGGCATTAAATATGCAAAAACTAGAAGATAGAAGAAAAAGAGGCAATATGATCACTACTTACAAAATAGTAACAGGAATCTATAAAATTGGTAGGGAAGAATTTGAGACCTGGGACTTCAAGAACAAGAGGTCATAGATTTAAACTAACGAAACAAAGCTGCCAGAGATATATAAAAAATTCACTTTTGCAAACAGAGTGGTAGACTGTTGGAACAAGTTAGGCGAGAGGGTGGTGGAGGTCAAAACTGTTAGTAATTTCAAAGCGTTACATGACTGTTGGGGAGACTGTACACCACGAGCATAGCTCTCATCCTGTAACTACACTTAGGTAATTACCCACAGCATAATTGCCTTTGTAAACTACAGGCTAGTCGTCTTTAATGCATAATTTTTCAACAAGAATTTGCTCTAATGAGCAATTTAGATTTACATCCACTTTCTCTTACAACATGTGATATGAACAATAAAAATGAAGCGTTAAAGCTATAAAAAACATTTTAGATGCATTTCAGGCATTTGGAGGATATACACATTTATATATAGGAATGAAAATACACAATGAAAGTGAACAGCACTCAATAAGTGGTATGGATAAAGGCAAAGTGTAATCTGAATTAATTTGTTACATTTTTTAAATGCTGACTCACAGGAAGCTCTACAAGTACTGTAGAATGATCACTGGGTTACTGCAATGATAATTAACTAAGTGTAGTTACAGGATGAGAGCTATGCTTGTTCTGTCTTCCCAGTACTGTACTCTTTTTCATACGACACTTTGAAACTGCTGAAGGTCGCACATCTGTGCCACATGAGTATGACGGCCGTGTGCCACACGAGTATAATTGAACAGTAGACAGTTATCCCATTTCTGTGTATAAATACATTTTTGCTCTGAATCTAATTTTAGTGAATAGATTTGTATTAGAACATTGCAATATAAGGGAGAAAGGAAATCCTTTCTTCATAATGCAAAGTTTTGCAGACTTGTTCCCACAAACGGATCCTCTGCCTACACTTGCAGCACATCTTAAATTTTGATGTTACTGATCTCTGGTCTCCCTGCACCACCAGGTAGAGATTAGACATGACCTATATCTGACAAGATCTCCTCAAGAGCTTGTGCCATTTGCACGAGGCATTTTACATTGTTAATAACTACTGTGAGCGGCTTGCACACCTGTCCTTACCTAGCTGCACACAGTAGTGCTCCAACATTAAGTTGACCAAACCACACAATAAGAAAGTGAAGGGACAACGACGTCTCGGTCCGGCCTGGACCATTCTCAAGTCGATTGTGATGAGGGAAGGAGGCGAAGGCATTAAATAGGCAAGAGAGAGGCGAGAAGGAAATCTTAGAAGAAAAAGCAAGGCAAAAGGTACAAAAGGTAAGGTGTTATAATATTAAAGTAATCTTGGATAATCCAACATTAAAGTAATCCCTTCCTGCCAAGCCCTTACCCCTCTTCACTCCCTCATGCACCACTACCTCATCTTGCTATCTAGTACTGTAGTTCACATTCACAGACCCAGTATGGCTACGTGGGACTGGTGTCCTTGTTGTTCACCTAATCCCTTCCTACATATCCCTCAAAATTTGTACACCACTTAGTACATACAGCACTTCTCTACTAAGCCTGCTTGTACCCTGTAAAATATCAATTAACTACTGTACCACAGGTATACTTTCCACCACCTTAATTTTCTAATTTTATACAATTTACATATTTTACAATTAGTTTATTTCAGCAAAACAATTACTGTCCCACTCCATTGTTTTGCTCGATCTCAGAAATAATAAATTAAATTTCAGAGAAGTGTTTTTTAGTAAAACCATGGTTATTTGCCACACAAGTTTAGCAACTTACAACATTTGCAACACTGAGCTTAGCAACAATATATGGTCTGTAGAGTACAGTACTTGACTAACAAGAAGAACATGATTGCTGGTGGTGCATGCACACAAGATTAGACCAACTGTGACGATCCTAAATACTTCCCAGTTTTTGGGCCCAAAATGACTTATCTTGCTTCTTTATTAAAAATTGTAATAATCGATTTTCAAAAAGTAACCAACAACAATTATATAACACTACAACCTAACGTACCTGCTATCTACAGTCCAAGTAAAGATGCTCTTTTTAATCTCTGTACAATGTCTAAGATATAGTTAAAAAGTATTGAATGCAGTAAATTCCCATTGTCCTAAAAATTCCTATTTATACTAAGGTTTATTAATCTCCAGACATAATATGGTGCAACAATTCATAGGTAATGAATGTATGTACTGTATAGAGAATGGTACATCTAATTTCTAAAAATTTCTTGGTAAATTTTTTTTTATTAACACGCTTAGGTATACACAGCATTGTGCTATGCTATTACTGTATATAGCAAAGATTACATAGTAAAATACATACCTGATGGGTCTCCTGCCATCCCTGGTTGTCAGAGGCCCCTATCACAGCATAGTCATGTAGTAGAGCCTCACAAAGTAGTGGATCAGTAGCATGGGTTACAGAATAATATAATGGCGTTAAACCACGGGTATCTCGGTAGTTTGGTGATGCTCCAAGATCTGTAACGATGAGAGGAGATTTGCTGAAGGGAAACTTGTCTCATGTATTCACTTTTCTAGGATTTCAATAAATGATGCACAAAATGTAAAATAAGAGTTATTTTTTAAGGTAGTTACACAAGATACAAAAACAGTACAGTATTACAAAACTGATTACATAATAAGTTATTATTATTATTATTATTATTATTATATACAGTGTATACAGTGCAGTACCAGTTCTTCCTTTATTATTTATACAGTACGTATAGGAAAATTTTTTTTTAGTACATTATTAAATATTAAACCCTTAATCCAAAAATAAATTATGTAGATCTGCATATAATCATGAACATCATACTGTATTTGTATGGAATATTGTTCAGGTTATATTTTTGGTGCACATTGTTTTAATTAAATTATTATGTAATTATTATATTATATATTATTATTATATAATTATTATATTATGATTATAGTACATGCAGCGTTTGAGAATACAGTACATTGAGGAGGCTGATCAAATTAGCATCAACACTAGGTTATTTAGAATGAAGAACGTATGGGTGGATTTGCTCTATACAAATGGATACATGACTCAAGCGTAACTTCAAAATAATTATTTTTTAATTCAATTGGTTTAGCATGTCTATTTTTGTCAAGCATTATGCCAGTATCAGATATACTGTACTTGTTTCTTGTATGAGGTTAAGAGTTCTGTTGCAGTCCTTAATAAAGCCTTTAAGGCCAGGATTTTATATTACAGTTTAAAGAAAAACAGTACACACAGGTGAATATGTGTAATCTTTATATTGAAATTGTTAGAATATGAACAAGGGTACTGCATGCTTGGGTACCCACTCTAGTATTATGATAAATGAACAGCAGGTGAGAAAACACTGAGCATGATTCTAATGCTGTAGTTAGTGCACTTACCTAGCTTATTATTTCTAGGAAAATAAGCAACTAGCACTGCGTGCATTTATTTGGTCAAGTGCCCCTGTATATAAGATATGAAGACACTTGCCAAATCTCACCCTGGTAACATACATTGTAAAATAAAGGCTCGCCTTCTCTACGCTTCGCACGACCTGGAGTCCACTCATTCATCCAACTAGCAAGGTGTTAATACTCCACACTCACCTAGCAAGGTCTTGACAGCTTCGAAGTTGTTGGCCTGGACTGCCCTGTGCATAGCGGTGACGCCGTCCCTGGTGCGGTAGTCGAGTAGGGCGCCACCGTTGACCACGGACACCACCATCCTCGAGGGCTTCTTCACCCGCGCCGCCAGCGACAACGGCGTCTCTGTGGGCCACGTGGTCACCCGGTTACACTCACTCATCCCCCACACATTGATTGATTGATTGATTAATGAAGATTAAGCCACCCAAAAGGTGGGACGGGCATAAATAGCCCGTAAGTGGTGGCCCTTTGGAGCCATTACCAGTATTAGTAGCTGACCTCTGCGTAGTTCTCATCCTCTGACTACACTTAGGTAATTGCAAGCGCACACACGCGCGCAAGCACACATGCGAGTTATGAGAGGAATAATAAGTGACCAGCAAGATACAAAAGGGATCGACAGAAACACACAAATGTTATGATCAATGCATCAAAATAATGCACTTAAGTAAAAAGTTTCAACTGATTAGAAAAAAGAACGTAGTGGAAGCGTGAGCAAGATCAGAGATCACTTACAGATAATAATGATTTGCGCAAGTAAATGCATGAAGGCTGAAAGCACATCTGCAGGCCCAATAAGTTCTCTGAAGAGAAATTAACAAAACCAGTCAATGTCAAGCCTGGTCCCAAGCCAGGCCTGTGGAGTATACTCCAGGTATGCTGGGCTTGCCAGGATACGACCGGAGGTATACCCTGTCAAAGAACAGAAGCAAATGAAGACCTCTATAAGAGAGGAATGAATATGAAAGAATATGCAGAGAAGCAATATGCACAGCCACATTAGGAAAATGTCCAGGTAATGAAAGAAAAAAAGAGAAAGGGGGGGTAATATGGGACAGAATATAAGGTTGAAATCGAGACAAGAGGAAGCAGGAGAAAAACTGTGCACGTTCAAGGCTCTGTGGTATCTTCTTGAGGTTATCTTTAGAGGATTTTGGGGCTTAGCGTCACCGCGGCCCGGTCCTCGACCAGGCCTCCTTTTTGTTACACACACCCCAGGAGGCAGCCTCAAGGCAGCTGTAACTCCCAGGCACCTATTTACTGCTAGGTGAACAGAGGCATCAGGGTGAAAGAAACTGCCCATTTAATTTCGCCTCTACCGGGGATCGAACCCGGAACCTCAGGACTACGAATCCCGAGCGCTGTCCACTCAGCTGTCAGGTAAGACAAGGTGTCGTCATATCACTCCTGCAAATGAGGAGTTATCCAAATTGCCGGAGATATCATGTAATTAGACCAATTTCATGTGATCACGACCAAACCTAACCATCTCGTTAGTTTTTTTTTCGACAAGACGCCGGCTTCTCGTCTTCGTCGAGGCCACTAGTGTTAGTGACCCCTCGGGTAAATCTGCTAAAAATCAGTTGTGGTCATATTTGATTTTCCATTGAAATTCGGTGCGGCCTCGGGTCAGTACAAGCAAGCCGAGCAGTCCTGAGCCAAGCATCCCCAAGCCCGACCTCAATAAACTGCAAGATGCCGAAGCCCAACCTTATCAACTCGCATCACCAATAAAAATACACACTTCTCACAATTGTGTTGGAGTTCTAAGATGCCAACAAAAGATTATCGGTATCTTTGAAGAGCAGGCGCAGTGTAGGTCTTATCAGCGGCCATTCCACAATCACAGCCCAAGTTACCTACAAACCGGCTCGCGCGCTGACGCTTTTGTTCTCATTTTGCAACGATATATTTTTGGAGTAGAGCTGAGAGAGGTGCGTATCGTAACGCTATGTACTAGTTATTATGAATAGAGCTGCTTATTCATCCACACCCCCAGGATGGTTCCCTAGACCATCCACACCCCCCCCCCCAAAAAAAAGTCTCCCTCTTACTAACAGAGAAAAAATAATTACTGTCGTATTAATATTTCCAATCAGTTTGACCACCAAGCCACGCCTGGAGAGCAGACTCCCATCACCCTTATCACGAGACAGTGTCCAGACACATGACCATAACACTAGACCCGTGTGTCCAGAGTCTCAGACACGAGGCTTTAAGTATCCAGACTGATAACATTATGTATCCAGATCTAAGACTTCACACACACACACACACACACACACACACACACACACACACACACACACACACACACACACACACACACACACACACACGAAGTCATAGATTTAAACTAGCTAAACACAGATGCCGAAGAAATATAAGAAAATTCACCTTCGCAAATAGAGTGGTAGACGGTTGGAACAAGTTAGGTGAGAAGGTGGTGGAGGCCAAGACCGTCAGTAGTTTCAAAGCGTTATATGACAGAGTGCTGGGAAGACGGGACACCACGAGCGTAGCTCTCATCCTGTAACTACACTTAGGTAATTACACACACACACACACACACACACACAAAGAAGTATCGAGACCAGAGACATCCAAGGGATAAGGAAACGAGTGGAAGAAAGAGGGAGATGGGAAGGAGGGAAGCAGGAAGGTAAACAATGAAGGCGGAGAAGGAATAACTAGAGACGAACTGTGTGTGGGAGACGATAACTAAGAGGGCATTATAACTGAAGCGAAGAAAAAGAATAATATATGAGGCGAGAGGGAACACATAAGGAAGAATTAGAGGGATGAATTTAAAATGTGTTACATTGGAAAAACAAATGGAAAAATAAAGAGGTGGGGTGACCGGGGGGGGGGAGAGGGGGGGGGGAAGAGAGAGAGAGAGAGGGGGGGGAGAGAGAGAGAGGGGGGGGGAGAGAGAGAGGGGGGGGGAGAGAGAGGGGGGGGGGAGAGAGAGAGGGGGGGAGAGAGAGAGGGGGGGGGGGAGAGAGAGAGAGAGGGGGGGACGGGAAGGGAGGGGGAGGAAGGATGTAGGACTGAAGGGGTAATATTAATCCCTTAAGTCCTAATATATCCAAAAGCCAAATAAGCGCCAAGCCTCTCGGCGATATTAAAGGGGAGTCTGAGGAATGTTTGGCCCTATCTCGCTATCACACACTGGCTATCAAAAGCTGCTGATAGCCTCAATACATAATCATACACCCTCTTGAAGCCTTACTAGCATGGGCTTCAGGTCACCGGGAATTCAGATTACATGAACCAAGGGTGTAACGTTGGGGGACTAGACCCCGACAGGTTAGGTTAAAACAGCAATCTCAACACAGCCTACCTACTGTGCACCGTCTCACCTCCGGTATCTTGACAGTGGAAGTTGGGGTCGAGTCCCTTGGCGCACATCTTGCTGACTTTCTCTACGTTGTTCTCCTTGACGTAGTCGACGAAGCGGCGGAGGTTGGCGCGGGTGTGTAGGGCCCGCAGCGCCTTCTCCTCCAGGTGAAGCATCTTGTACACCCGTCGCTTGTACTTCAGCTGCGGAAGATGGGTAGAGGGGCATGTTAGTGGAGAGTGGTGGGAAGCTGACACTAAGTATGAAGGTTAATTCGGGAATTCCAGGTTCGAATCCCGGGCGAGACAGAAATGGATGGGCGCGTTACCTATCACCTAATATACCTGTTTACCTAGCAGTAAATAGGTACCCAGGAGTTAGTCAGCATGTGGTGGGGCTGCATCCTGGAGATGGGGGAGGGTCAGTAATTCAACCCCGAGGCCAAGAGCTCCATGTCTGAAGAAGCTTGTAATATTAAATGGAATGTAATTTTTGCCAAAGATAATAACTATTGTATAAAGTTTGTGTGGATCCCATCCCATGTTGGAGTTGGAAAACATGACTTTGTAGATCGATTGGCCAATGAGGCTTGCAGGAAAGGAAACATTGATTATGACTTTGGACTATCTAATGCAGTTATTAGAAACATACAAGAAATTAATTCAAATTTAGAAGAACTAAGAAATGCCCAGAGACCTGAAAGCTGCAGTATTAAAAGCTATGAAAACTTTTGTAATAATAGGTATTTGTATGGTCAGCACAGTAACCGGACCAGGCAATGTGATGTAGTCATTGCGCGAATTCGCCTTGGCTATCGACACATCTGGCAGGTTAGTGAGGCTAAGCCACTACCAGAACTTTCAGACTCTGTGACAAATCTTTAATGCATTCACTAGAACACTGTATTGTTGAATGTGAAACCGTAAAAGCCTTTAGACCTCCTGGCCTATTGTACCACCAACTGTGTAACTATTTCATTGACTCGGGTGTTCTGGACGACATCCTAACAATTTATCCAAAATTTGCTTGTTCATTTTAAGGAATGAAGATTTTTTTTTTATGTATATTACTTCTAAGCTGCATCACTTGTGAACCATCCCCGCCCTTGTGTGGCAGTGCATAATAGAAAGTTGTTTTTACATATTCGTACATTAAAACACTGATTGTAACCATGATATATATGTGTTTCAGCCTACAGTTTAGACTTATTGTCTTGTGTATGACCCTCTGTCCTGTGTGACAGTGAATACCAGCATTATCCTCACTTTAATAAGGAATTTATCAGGGGAAAGCGCCAAGCCATTACGACTATATAGCACTTAGAAGGGGGTCTGGATAAGATTTGGGATGCGACGGGGAAGGAAGGAATGATGCCCAACCACTTGGACGGTCGGGGATTGACCGCCAACCTGCATGAAGGGAGACCGTCGCTCTACCGCCCAGCCCACGTGGTAATAATAATAATAATAAATAATAATAATAATGCAAGTCTTGCGCATAATTCATTATTATTAATATAATTATTATTATTCATAACAGATCCTTTACGAACCTAGAAGCCGTACAGACATACCAACTAAAAACTAGAGCAAGAGTGTCTAGCACGGATAACAAAAGCTTTACTACCACCATTTGTATCTCGCAGTCGTGGAACAGTTGAAGTTCTCCATGAACCAGTTAGACCTCCGTCTGTTGAACGCGTGGCAGCGCAGTCCTCCTCACGACAATGTTACTGACAAACCTCTTTAACTACGTAGTGTAAATATACCTTTCAGCTGAGCTAACATCAAGGGTGTACATCCAACCCTTGAACTATCCCCTGTGTAATTACCCATAATCCGTCACTAGTGATCTCACTAATTGTGTCCTCTAGATTCAGCTGGAAGATAGCACTCGCCGTTACAGTTCGCTGTACTGCTTGCGACTCGCACCTTGGGTCGAGTCCAGCATAAAGGGGTGCAAGGCTTCTTGCCTAAGAAGGTGCTAGGATTGCTCCTCCTTACCTTGATTAATTCAAGTGAGTTATACTCATCTCTGCAGAAGCATGTAGTTATATTTGGCGCCTCTTGCGCGACACATTCAGGTGCGATTAAGAACACTATGAAAGGACCGACAGAGAACACATCTACACATTGTCCGCATCTTCTGTCAATACAGGTGATCACCCCTTCACCTCCACCCAAGCCAGCGAGGAGTAGCAAGTTATATGATATCTTCTATCATCCGAAAGCTTTTACTTCCGTCCCCGTTAAATGTGCATACAATGCCCTTGCCTAGTCTCTTGCTCACAGATACAAGGGACTTCGGTGGAGGGTGAGGAGAGCATCACTATGTTCCAAGAACACGTCAAGAATTACGGCGATGGTCAAAATGAACCCTACCTTGTGTGGTTACCTCGTGTGGCTACCGTGTAGTGGTTCTGAAAATCACAGTTCCCCCAGCCCGTTCTCTCATCTCAATGACCACCATCCGCCTCCTAAAGGTGGTCTGGCTAAAGTCTAAAGACTGTTAGACGCGGCTGCGAGCAGCCTGATGTGTGAATCACATCGTGGTTGATCAGGAATCCTTTGAAGATGTTTCCTCTTGAATACCGTTAGAGATCGGCTAAGAGGGAAAGTGTTAAGTCTTGTGATTTTGATACTGGCAATTCTCTCAGCGTACCTATTGTTCCTATGCTTTTCAACTGGGCTATTTTGTATTTCCTGCCATGCCTCCTGGTCTCGCGTGGCGTTGATATCATTCAACTGGATATGCTTTGATAACATTAGGAATTGAGGATAGCAGACTCTGGTCTGCTTAGCATATCTCAAGATGAACATTCGATTTTGTCTTAAATGCCCGTTCAATTTATTACTACGCATACTCGATATCTAAAAGATTGTTGTTTTAGATTTAGCTACTCAGAACGAAATGTCCATGTAGCACGGGCTATGGTGAGCCCGTAACTGAGTTCGGATATTCGCGATAACCTTGTTAGTGTGATATTTGTGTCAAAGTTTTAAATGGAGGTGGGGTTTCCTCCCTTTCCCCGTTTCTTTTCCGCTTCTGTTTTAGTCATATTTTAATAACATTATCTTGGTGGCAGATATAGATGTACAGTGTTCACTAGTGTGTCCCATTCTTCTACTGCTTTTCTAACCATTGTAGTCGCTGTGGATTTTGAATCTAATGCAGCTGCTGTCGTTGGATTAATGTTGAGTTTGATGCACAGGGCTTCAGTTGCTTCACATTCCAGTAAGTACTGTAATAGCCGCGCCTCTGCACCTGTTCCACAGATATGACACTAATGGGTTTATTACCTCCCAGCAGCACTTGTAACCAAGTCTGAGTATTGCTACTGCAATGTCTCTGGATATCTTTTTGCCAGGCTTGAAAGAGGAGTACCCAGTGGCTGCTTGTTCGTACCACATCCCAGTGGATCTTCCCGCTCCGCTATTTCGGCTCTGTGGCGACTGTTGATAGTTGGGAGTATCTTCTTCTCTATTTGCTTCGTAGTCTGTAAAAAACTTGGAGATATTTTAACCTGTACAACAGGTAGAGCAGTGGCAGTTTTTGCTAGTGAGTCTGCCTTTACATTACCATCTATGCCAATTTAACTTGATATACAATTTAGGGTGATTGACAGTCTTAAATTGTGCGTTTTTCCTACATGTAGGATTTCAGTGATTAGTTTTATATTATCTCTGTTGTATATAAAATATCTATGCAAATAAATATTTTATATTATAGAATGTATGCAGGAATTGTGTTGCCACCTGTCCCGTGCACCGCCTTGCAAGTGCATACTCGCTTGCAAGACAACCATATACACATCAACACATCAACACAGTCAACACAGCCTCACTAAAATTAATTAAAACTGCAATTTTTAATTACTACATCTGTCACCATTATCAGAGCGTCTGTCTCACTGTCAGCAGTGACGGTCAACCACTGCGTCACACTGGAGAACTTGGGAAAGCTGCAACCGGTAGTACAGCGGGGCACGGTGACCGGTACTAGAGTACCCGAGGACACGAGTACCTGGGGGCATGGTGACCAGTACTAGAGTACCTGGGGCATGGTGACCAGTACTAGAGTACCTGGGGGCACGGTGACCAGTACTAGAGTACCTGGGGGCACGGTGACCAGTACTAGAGTACCTGGGGGCACGGTGACCAGTACTAGAGTACCTGGGGGCACGGTGACCAGTACTAGAGTACCTGGGGGCACGGTGACCAGTACTAGAGTACCTGGGGGCACGGTGATCAGTACTAGAGTACCTGGGGGCACGGTGATCAGTACTAGAGTACCTGGGGGCACGGTGACCAGTACTAGAGTACCTGGGGGCACGGTGACCAGTACTAGAGTACCTGGGGGCACGGTGACCAGTACTAGAGTACCTGGGGGCACGGTGACCAGTACTAGAGTACCTGGGGGCACGGTGACCAGTACTAGAGTACCTGGGGGCACGGTGACCAGTACTAGAGTACCTGGGGGCACGGTGACCATACTAGAGTACCTGGGGCACGGTGACCAGTACTAGAGTACCTGGGGGCACGGTGATCAGTACTAGAGTACCTGGGGGCACGGTGATCAGTACTAGAGTACCTGGGGGCACGGTGACCAGTACTAGAGTACCTGGGGGCACGGTGACCAGTACTAGAGTACCTGGGGGCACGGTGACCAGTACTAGAGTACCTGGGGGCACGGTGACCAGTACTAGAGTACCTGGGGGCACGGTGACCAGTACTAGAGTACCTGGGGGCACGGTGACCAGTACTAGAGTACCTGGGGCACGGTGACCAGTACTAGAGTACCTGGGGGCACGGTGACCAGTACTAGAGTACCTGGGGCACGGTGACCAGTACTAGAGTACCTGGGGGCACGGTGACCAGTACTAGAGTACCTGGGGGCACGGTGACCAGTACTAGAGTACCTGGGGGCACGGTGACCAGTACTAGAGTACCTGGGGGCACGGTGATCAGTACTAGAGTACCTGGGGGCACGGTGATCAGTACTAGAGTACCTGGGGGCACGGTGACCAGTACTAGAGTACCTGGGGGCACGGTGACCAGTACTAGAGTACCTGGGGGCACGGTGACCAGTACTAGAGTACCTGGGGGCACGGTGACCAGTACTAGAGTACCTGGGGGCACGGTGACCAGTACTAGAGTACCTGGGGGCACGGTGACCAGTACTAGAGTACCTGGGGGCACGGTGACCAGTACTAGAGTACCTGGGGGCACGGTGACCAGTACTAGAGTACCTGGGGGCACGGTGACCAGTACTAGAGTACCTGGGGGCACGGTGACCAGTACTAGAGTACCTGGGGGCACGGTGACCAGTACTAGAGTACCTGGGGGCACGGTGATCAGTACTAGAGTACCTGGGGGCACGGTGACCAGTACTAGAGTACCTGGGGGCACGGTGACCAGTACTAGAGTACCTGGGGGCACGGTGACCAGTACTAGAGTACCTGGGGGCACGGTGACCAGTACTAGAGTACCTGGGGGCACGGTGACCAGTACTAGAGTACCTGGGGGCACGGTGACCAGTACTAGAGTACCTGGGGGCACGGTGATCAGTACTAGAGTACCTGGGGGCACGGTGACCAGTACTAGAGTACCTGGGGGCACGGTGACCAGTACTAGAGTACCTGGGGGCACGGTGACCAGTACTAGAGTACCTGGGGGCACGGTGACCAGTACTAGAGTACCTGGGGGCACGGTGACCAGTACTAGAGTACCTGGGGGCACGGTGATCAGTACTAGAGTACCTGGGGGCACGGTGACCAGTACTAGAGTACCTGGGGGCACGGTGACCAGTACTAGAGTACCTGGGGGCACGGTGACCAGTACTAGAGTACCTGGGGGCACGGTGACCAGTACTAGAGTACCTGGGGGGCACGGTGACCAGTACTAGAGTACCTGGGGGCACGGTGACCAGTACTAGAGTACCTGGGGGCACGGTGACCAGTACTAGAGTACCTGGGGGCACGGTGACCAGTACTAGAGTACCTGGGGGCACGGTGATCAGTACTAGAGTACCTGGGGGCACGGTGACCAGTACTAGAGTACCTGGGGGCACGGTGACCAGTACTAGAGTACCTGGGGGCACGGTGACCAGTACTAGAGTACCTGGGGGGCACGGTGACCAGTACTAGAGTACCTGGGGGGCACGGTGACCAGTACTAGAGTACCCGAGGACACGCCAAGACACTACCACCATGACCTACTCCAGCGACTGTCCCAAGCAACGCAAGAGTTATATTAACAGCCTGACTGTGTTCTTAGACATGGGGGGGGGGGTGGCATCCTTCCTCCCCTCCCCAAAACCCAGACGAGCCATCAACCTGCAGGAAGACATGTCTACCTACCTTGAGGCTACCTTGACGTGCTTCCGGGGCTTAGTGTCCCCGCGGCCCGGTCGTCGACCAGGCCTCCTGGTTGCTGGACTGATCAACCAGGCTGTTAGACGCGGCTGCTCGCAGCCTGACGTATGAGTCACAGCCTGGTTGATCAGGTATCCTTTGGAGGTGCTTATCCAGTTCTCTCTTGAACACTGTGAGGGGTTTGCCAGTTATGCCCCTTATGTGTAGTGGAAGCGTATTGAACAGTCTCGGGCCTCTGATGTTGATAGAGTTCTCTCTCAGAGTACCTGTTGCACCTCTGCTTTTCAACGGGGGTATTCTGCACATCCTGCCATGTCTTCTGGTCTCATGTGGTGTTATTTCTGTGTGCAGGTTTGGGACCAGCCCCTCAATTATTTTCCACGTGTAAATTATTATGTATCTCTCCCGCCTGCGCTCAAGGGAGTACAGATTTAGGCTCTTTAGTCGGTCCCAGTAATTTAGATGTTTTACTGAGTGGATTCTAGCAGTAAAGGATATCTGCACGCTCTCTAGGTCAGCAATTTCTCCAGCTTTGAAAGGGGCTGTCATTGTGCAGCAGTACTCCACTCTAGATAGCACAAGCGTTTTGAAAAGTATCATCATCGGTATAGCATCTCTAGTGTGAAAAGTTCTTGTTATCCAACCTGTCATTTTTCTTGCAGTTGTGACGGCTACTTTATTGTGTTCTTTAAAGGTAAGGTCTTCCGACTGGAGTACTCACCTCCAGGTAGCTAATAGGACTTGACAAGGGGCGGTGGCAGGGGAAGGGTGTTGTGGACTCTTTCTCAGAGAATGGCAACGGAAGAGTTACTGAGCGTGTATGCGTGTGTATGGGTCTGTGTGTGGACGCAAGCTGGGCAGACTCTCCTGGGACGCCAGATGGCAATGTAGTCTGAGTGCCGGCAGCCATTGAGGCAGGCGGCCACGCCACAGACGTAGCCAGGGAGCACTCCAAGACGCTCCAGTGGTGGGCGGAAACAAGAGCCGGAAGCGGTCTTGAGCTCGTGCACAATGGGTGCTTGTGCGGAGGGCCAGAAGGACACGTGGCCACATGTGCATTTTCAGAGTTGAGATATTGGCTCAAGGAGTAGAGGAGTGAGTGAGTTGTGTCCTGGCCGCCAGCCTGGACGGTGGTCAGCGTGTCCTGGCCGCCAGCCTGGACGGTGGTCAGCGTGTCCTGGCCGCCAGCCTGGACGGCGGTCAGCGTGTCCTGGCCGCCAGCCTGGACGGTGGTCAGCGTGTCCTGGCCGCCAGCCTGGACGGTGGTCCGCGTGTCCTGGCCGCCAGCCTGGACGGTGGTCCGCGTGTCCTGGCCGCCAGCCTGGACGGTGGTCCGCGTGTCCTGGCCGCCAGCCTGGACGGTGGTCCGCGTGTCCTGGCCGCCAGCCTGGACGGTGGTCCGCGTGTCCTGGCCGCCAGCCTGGACGGTGGTCCGCGTGTCCTGGCCGCCAGCCTGGACGGTGGTCCGCGTGTCCTGGCCGCCAGCCTGGACGGTGGTCCGCGTGTCCTGGCCGCCAGCCTGGACGGTGGTCCGCGTGTCCTGGCCGCCAGCCTGGACGGTGGTCCGCGTGTCCTGGCCGCCAGCCTGGACGGTGGTCCGCGTGTCCTGGCCGCCAGCCTGGACGGTGGTCCGCGTGTCCTGGCCGCCAGCCTGGACGGTGGTCCGCGTGTCCTGGCCGCCAGCCTGGACGGTGGTCCGCGTGTCCTGGCCGCCAGCCTGGACGGTGGTCCGCGTGTCCTGGCCGCCAGCCTGGACGGTGGTCCGCGTGTCCTGGCCGCCAGCCTGGACGGTGGTCCGCGTGTCCTGGCCGCCAGCCTGGACGGCGGTCAGCGTGTCCTGGCCGCCAGCCTGGACGGCGGTCAGCGTGTCCTGGCCGCCAGCCTGGACGGCGGTCAGCGTGTCCTGGCCGCCAGCCTGGACGGCGGTCAGCGTGTCCTGGCCGCCAGCCTGGACGGCGGTCAGCGTGTCCTGGCCGCCAGCCTGGACGGTGGTCAGCGTGTCCTGGCCGCCAGCCTGGACGGTGGTCCGCGTGTCCTGGCCGCCAGCCTGGACGGTGGTCAGCGTGTCCTGGCCGCCAGCCTGGACGGTGGTCCGCGTGTCCTGGCCGCCAGCCTGGACGGTGGTCCGCGTGTCCTGGCCGCCAGCCTGGACGGTGGTCCGCGTGTCCTGGCCGCCAGCCTGGACGGTGGTCAGCGTGTCCTGGCCGCCAGCCTGGACGGTGGTCCGCGTGTCCTGGCCGCCAGCCTGGACGGTGGTCCGCGTGTCCTGGCCGCCAGCCTGGACGGTGGTCCGCGTGTCCTGGCCGCCAGCCTGGACGGTGGTCCGCGTGTCCTGGCCGCCAGCCTGGACGGTGGTCCGCGTGTCCTGGCCGCCAGCCTGGACGGTGGTCCGCGTGTCCTGGCCGCCAGCCTGGACGGTGGTCCGCGTGTCCTGGCCGCCAGCCTGGACGGTGGTCCGCGTGTCCTGGCCGCCAGCCTGGACGGTGGTCCGCGTGTCCTGGCCGCCAGCCTGGACGGTGGTCCGCGTGTCCTGGCCGCCAGCCTGGACGGTGGTCCGCGTGTCCTGGCCGCCAGCCTGGACGGTGGTCAGCGTGTCCTGGCCGCCAGCCTGGACGGTGGTCAGCGTGTCCTGGCCGCCAGCCTGGACGGTGGTCAGCGTGTCCTGGCCGCCAGCCTGGACGGTGGTCAGCGTGTCCTGGCCGCCAGCCTGGACGGTGGTCAGCGTGTCCTGGCCGCCAGCCTGGACGGTGGTCAGCGTGTCCTGGCCGCCAGCCTGGACGGTGGTCAGCGTGTCCTGGCCGCCAGCCTGGACGGTGGTCAGCAGAGTCATGGCTACAGCAGAAGTGGAGGCTGGCGACATCAATGGCCAACTGCTGGTAGCCTCCACACCTCACGGTGTAGCAGTGCAGACCTGTTGCACCTACGCCAGTGGGCATCGTAAGTGGCCTGTGTTATGAGTGACTAACATTGGACCTGTAATTTAATAGTTAAGGAATGCCCCTGAGATGGGATAATTTATGTAAGGATTAGTTAGTGAGCAAGGGACGCTGGATGAGGGCTCACGGGTTGACACCCTAGGCTGTGGCTAGGGGCGCATATCAACTAGAAATATATGAAATATGTGTAAATAACTGACTATAAGATTAACTCCAAAGTCGTGTTTCATTGTTTAGTGAGCGAGTGTGTGTGTGTGTGTGTGTTTCCAAGAGTGCTGGTGCATGCAAATGACACGAATATATAGTGATATCAATTGATACAGAAGAGAGAGTGAGAGAAGTTACAAGAAGGGCCCCCCGGTGGCAGGGATTGACTGGGCACTCACCTCCAGGTAGCCGATAGGGCTGGGTAGGGGGTAGTCGCCCAGAGGTCGCTCCTCGTCCAGGAACTTGCCAGCTCGGCCATTCTGGGGCGGGCAGAAGAGCCCGTAGTTGAAGCTCTCCCTCAGCTCCTGCGGGCAGGCATACTTGTAGTCAGGCATACACGTGGTGAAGCATACACGCGGCCAGACATACATGGTGAAAACTTCACGCGGCGAGGCATACATGTGAAGCATACACACGCAAGGCATACACGTGGTGAAGCATACACGCGGCGAGGCATACACGCGGCGAGGCATACACGCGGCGAGGCATACACGCGGCGACCCACTTCCTTATACATAGGAATACAAGAATAAAGGAAACTGCCCATGTGAGGCAGCTCCTATTTCTGCCCATACTCACCCATACTTAAACTAGTTGGGGTACCCAGCGATGCTCGGGTCGACCCGAAAAGGTTGCACCATTTAAGTGTTGAGAGTCCGGGTCAACTGTGTCATCCTGACATTAATTGATGGACTTCGATGAGGGTCGTCACGGGAGCCGATCCCCTTTCAATGGGGCCAACCCCGACCTGCCCATGTTGGTCACATACCCCTCAGTCACCCTGCAAAGTTAGGCGTCTGGCCCCCAACCTTGGAGACACACGGACACAGTTACCTCTGCTAATCTTTATTTACTTTCCCTCAGTCTGCGATGTTGAGAGCTTCCATGCAACGCCTCGCACATGTTGCTACACGACGCCTTAATGAAACTGTAAAATGCACTTCTCAGTATAATGTTCAACTTCCTTACCAATTGAAGACCATAAGATATATAGAGTAGATTTGAGGTAGAATCACTGATCCTTTTGGTCACATAAACAAAGAAATCATCCTGCCCTCCGTACCTTTTCCACTTCCGTGTTTACATGGGCATGAAGTAGTCCAACAGAACCGGTTAGGGGCTGCCTTGACCTGCTAGCTTCCCTGCCCCACCACGTGCACGTACACATACCCACCCACCCCTCACTCCCTGCCCCGTTTCGTGCCCATCCTCACACCCTGCCCTGCGCCCAGCCGTGCCCACCCTCTAGCCGTGCCCTGTCTCCTGGACCTATCAAAAGGACGACATAAGTGGGGGTGGCCAACATCCGAACTAGCTTAACCTCAAAGGTTAAGCTGTTGAAAAGTGAAAACGTTCCACTGTGTTAAATATGAGCTGCTCTAATGGCGTGGAAGTTTATAACCCAGTCTCCAGTGTTGTCTCCAGCAGCTGTCCAGCATGTAACCTTAAGGTATACGGGAGGTCACCCGTGTCACGGGAGGTCACCCGTGTCACGGGAGGTCACCCGTGTCACGGGAGGTCACCCGTGTCACGGGAGGTCACCCGTGTCACGGGAGGTCACCCGTGTCACGGGAGGTCACCCGTGTCACGGGAGTCACCCGTGTCACGGGAGGTCACCCGTGTCACGGGAGGTCACCCGTGTCACGGGAGGTCACCCGTGTCACGGGAGGTCACCCGTGTCACGGGAGGTCACCCGTGTCACGGGACATGCCCCGCCACCAGTGGAGGGGCAGGCTCCTCCATTTTCTTTTATGGCTCCTCCGTAAATTTTAACCAATTGCGTATTTAAAATAATTATTCTCATAAATTATTATATATGTTCTATGTATAATTAGACGGAGGTCAGGTTAGGTGTTTAAGTTCTGTTGGCGATTATTTGCACTTGAGGTACGTGGGTGACGCCTTTACGGCAAGATTTTAACAAGAGGTCATCAGCCAAGTACTGGTTGAGAAATGTTCAAATGTCAACAGTTGTTTTCGCGTGTAAACTGTTTATCATTGATAGACTGGGGGGGAGGATGGGGCTTGGCGGCTGGATTAACGAGCATTTGGCCTTTGCTGATGAGGACGGGTGACCGCCAGTCACCAGCACTCCGGAGACAAGAGAGACTCTCGTCTCACAGGTGCGCGTGCATACGCCTTCACGCACCCTGTGTGAAACGTGTGTCGAAAGCTTTCATGAGTGAGAAGCGAGGTTGATTGAGGCTGAGCCAGTCATTAAGGCCCAGCCTTGCGTAAACACAAATTGTCTCCTATCTTCAGGCAAACTGCACTCCATTGTTGGTGGGGGTTTCCCTTCTTGATCGTCCAAAGGCGATGCTTTCTTGTTTTCGCAAACTTCAGATAACCTTGTGTTGTTTGGGGGTTTATTAGTTAAACTGAGGCGCTGGAACTCCACTCTGTCACACTTCAAGCGACCCCCCCCCCTCCCCCACGTCACCCTTGATCCCCCCCCCTCCCCTTCACACTCGCGCAGAACATAATAACACTTCCGCATGTGGTCATCAAAGGTCAGACATCTTTTCTCTGTCTTACCAATAACGGATTCAAGAGCCGCCACCTGACGCCAACCACTAGTCTCCAACACCTGAACCGGCTCCTTAAACAACTTTCCATTCGTAAACTCGGCTCCATTTAGTATCTCCTCGGCTGTTAAGCATTAATGTCAAAACATTACACATTCAATAGACGGATATGAGAGGCAATGTTCAATTAACGGAGTTTGAGTAGCGGAGAATAAAAACATGTCTGCTAATCTTGACTATCTGTGTATAACTTGCCCTAACTACTACTACTGCCTTACTCTATAACGGACCTTAAAACTATATATTACAGTCGACACGTCAGTTACCCGACAACAGTACCATGCTGCAACCTAGCAAGACGGGAGCCCCGCGCTACCTCCCAAGCCCTGTCGGGAGCCCTCTGTTACCTCGCAACAAGCACTGTACCTTGTCCTGCGCTTGAAGAACAAGTCATAACGACAGGCAAGTCAGTCTCTTATTAATGCATACTGTTCTAAGACTAGTTCGCTTACATTGAGATTATTTTATCAAGAAACTTGCAGGAACAGGACCAGCACGACTCGGGGTCCAAGCCAAAACAGAGAAACTGTCGCCAGGCAGCACAGACGACAGACAACCCTCGAATTCGCAGGAGGCGAGAGTGGGCCCGGCAGAGGCCTGACTGTCCGGCCGGCCGGAACTTGAAACATCAGCAAAATGTCATTAAAACGTGCCCGTGGGGCGATACTGGGCCCCACCAGCTTTCCCATCTCCACACCCCATCCCTGTACATACAATTACAAACACCAAACTATTACACATCAAAACGAAACCAAAGCTTAAACCATAGCAACACCTTAGACTGTTCCATTCACCATTTAGTAGAACACGTCGTAGTTAACAGACCACCTCCATTTAGCGGTCGACTTGCTCATGTATAACAATTTAGGACCAAACAATTTGGTTGACACTCTTAGGACTTTTCAGCTATGATGATGATACTATTTAAATGCATCACTTCAGTAAACAGTCCATCAGTTAAGCACATGCTAACTGGCCGAGACACCGCCAACCCGCTCATGCCAGGGATAAAGTGCAGTAGACGAGTCCCTCGACATGTTAAGTGTGTCACAGTGTTAGTAAGACAACACCAACTCATCTCGCCTCAACTAACAGAAGTGTACCGTGACTGACATGTCGGCGCCGGACCCCAGGAGGCGCTGACGGAGGGTCACTGGCTTCCCACGGGTGCTCCCGTCTGGCTGCGGTATCCTATATCACTCGTATATCAGGTCCTCCCGCCAGGCCTCGGCCGGACGCTGTCAACAGCAGGAGTCCACATCTACAGCCTCACTCCGGCACTGGCTCTGGAAACTGTTCTGGTTTAACCGGAATGATTTACTACGATTCGATAACGGTTTTTAGTGCATCATCGCAGACTGGTTAAGGTCTTGGATGGCCGTCTTAACAGCCTCTTGGTGACGCCTCCACACACCACCCCACACCACACCTGACTGACTACACCACCTCCACACATGACTGCCCTTCACCACCACGCCCCTCTACCTGTCACACCTTCACCACGCCCCACCACCCCTTCTCCACCACGCCCCACCACCCACCACCAACACGCTCCACCACCCACCACCACCAACACGCCCCTTCACAGGCTCGGACATCATTTCAGCGAAGTCAATTAAACATCTTTATTAGTAAGTGCACAAGAGCGCACAAGAATGCAAATTCAAAAACTTTATTATACAAAAGACCGCATTTATAATCGACTTAAATTTACAAATACATTTATGCAAGAAAAAGGTTACAATGATAGACTAACACAAAATGTACATTATACATACTCTATAATGGACCTAGCATTATAGAGGGAGGCAACCCTCTAGGCCCATGATGACATGATGCAGAGTAAAAAGTTGAAATGTTTCAATTGCTCAAAATACAATATAAAAAACATAACCACTAAATTAGAAGCAGATCACTGATAAAATGTGACGTAAAATTATACAAATGTGCATGGCCTTGGGGTTTTAACAGATCCCACGCATTCAGAGCACACGGCTCCTGTAACTGGAAGATGATTTCAACAGGATTTAAATTCCTTGTTAAGCCATATTTTTGGCCAAACCGAACCATCGGAAAGTGAAGCAGCAACGACGTTTCGGTCAGTCCTGGAAACTTGATTTGATCATTGTATCTTCAGCCACGTTCTTGAAACTCATCATCTTGTGCTAGCTGGATGAGTTAGCCCTTCACGCAAGAGAATATAATTACTGTGTGAATTATTTCTTCAAGTGTAGGTGCGGACATCAATCAGGTCAGGAGGAGAGTGACTATTTCCTCCATTCACATTAAGCTAACCAAGGTCAGCATTTAGCCATGTCCAGTAGTTCACACCCGAACAAGTTGAGACAGTGTTAAGATGACTTTCGACCAGGCGGGTATCATGATGACTCGATTCACTCTGACTTTTGTTACAACTTTCATATGTCTGAGAGCACCAGAAAAAATTGTCAAATGGGTCCTTCAAGAACATAATATGCCTTAAATACTTGTCAGGATACTTGACTGAAATATCTCTATTGTAATTTTACTTAAAGATTAGGACAAAACTAGTTCAATGAGTTAAAAAGCAACTACTGCACATCTAGCACATTTATCATTTCTTAACATTTGTCCAGACCACATTCGAGAGGGGTGCCAACAAAACTTGATCATTAGCATTGAAAAAAAACATAAGCTTAGTATAGCCAGCCAAATATATACTTAAGAATACTACAGCCATA